TAATTTTTTCAGTGAGGGCTTGAAGTCTTCGATTAAGAATGTTTGTGAGTATTTTGTATCCCGAACAGAGTAAAGAGAGCCTCTATAATTCTGACATAACAGTTTGTCTCCTTTTTATGAATAGGGCAGATTATACTTTTCTTCCATTGTTGTGGGATTTTTTCTTCTCTCCATAAAATTAATACTGAAATTAAAACTTGATATTTAATAAAGATGGTTACTTTTAATCAATTTATATAATAATGTAAAATTCATCGATTTATTGAATATCTAAATTTAAACTTCAGTATAAATCTCTTTGAAATGAGTAATAACAATTAGCAAAATTATTTTTATTGTTCACTGTTATCAATCTCCATAAAAAAGCAATGTTTATCATTTAAAAATAAAACATTAAATTCCATCATTTACATTCTCACTCATGGACGTATAATTCTTTATTTATACGTCCATGTTCTCACTAGTCTTGAGTCCGTGGTAAAATGGATGGTACACTGGATCAAGGTATGGCAACAGGAAAATCAAGTCTTCCTTTTTTTGATGTTTTATTTAGGTCCACTATAAACAGGTTCTAATGTAAGATCCATCTGCTGACCTCTGCGTTTAATATTAAGGGTAGAAACGTCAAGACCTTTATGAGCATATTTAATGTCTATAACACCCAACTCTTTACCAAAACGTAGAACTTTTATATCATGTCATTTCACATTTTCATTATCCACACCTTTATCACACTTTACATAGATATTCTGGAAAAGTTTTAAATACGCTAGAAAATATTTCCTCTGCATTTCGATAACCTGGAATTTCTTCTTACCAGGGACAGTTCTAACAAACTGGTACCAGTCATGAGGTACGCTCAATTCTTGCAATGGTCGGCATCACATTTCATTCTAGTATGACCCACTTCCAGGAACTTGTGTTGTATTTTATTTATGGTTGTTGATCTATAAACAAATAAAAACAGTGCTCCTGCAACAATGTTATTTTTGTTTGCAACAAGAATCCGAATATAGAACAACTTTTTCAACTGTATCAACTAAGATGTCAAGGTATTTTAAAAGACAAGAAACAACTTGATCTGATCCACGTCCCCATCTGACAACCCCTCATGTCACATAAAACATGAAGTGGTATTTTCAGTGCAATTTCTGATGGTGAGGTTATATGTCCAAAGCAATCTTTTATAGTAGACTAGTAAGTCAAATATTAAAACAACCATTTAACCGCTACTGTTTCTGTAGAACTCTATATCTGCTTTTTTTTCAACATATTCTCTGCTAGCTAAAGATGTTTATTTTTCTCTTCATCCACGGCTGCACGTATTTCTTCACTATTAGAGGATTTTTTCTTGTTTTCTAGATAATCACAAGTCTTACATGTATCGATACTAAGATTTTTAAATTTATATCCAAGTTCTTTAAAAATCTTAGCATAAAATGAATATGATGCAGGCATTGTTCTGTTTGAGACATAAAGATCATACATAAGTTTAATATTTAGATTGGGAGCTAAATAGAGTCGACTTGTGTATCTTCGAGAGTAGTGGCTCTCATATTTTGGGAAATACTCTGTGTTTTATAGCTTCAGCCTTTTCGTATGGTCGAGCGTTATGTGGTTGGCGTTTTCCAGGTCCATTAGGTTCTATAAAACCCGTGGGTGATATTTGTTTTTTTTTTATCAAAATATCAATTTTTCCTCTTGTCATACTATGTAGACTCTGGAACATGTATTTGCAAACTTTTAACGTTTTGTCGTTATATGTGATATTATAGGATACCACAATTTGTCTGTTTTTATTATTTCCTCGTTCTCCTTTATCTTTTCTTTCTGTCTTCTTTAACTCAATCTTCACTCTTTCAGAAATTACTTGGTTTTTGTCTTGCACTTTTTTAAGAAAATCATAAAAAATTTCTTTTTGTTCATCTATAGAGAGTTTCTCGTGACATTTATTGCGACAGCAACGAGTAAGCGCTTGAAATACTTTTGCAGGTTTTGTATACCTTTTCTTGTAATATGTTCTTCTCCTAACATCTTCTTTTCTTTCATCTCTACTCTGTTATATTTCGGTTTTTAGGTTGAACATTAGAGTTATTTATTTGGTCTTTGCCATAGTCACTTTTATTTGTAAAAGTATCATTACTTACTATGTCATCCGTATTATTACTGGAAGTAGCTGTTGTTTCACACTTTTTAGATGGCATTGCTTGATATTTACCTGGCCTTTCATTCTCACTTGTGTCAGATGAAGTGTCCAAAGGAATATAATCCTCATCTGCATCTGAATTATCACTATTCAAATATGACACTAATTCATCAGAAGGGCTTGTCTATTAAGCGTAAAATGTATGGCTGTCTTAGTGAGAGCGCCCACCAAAGTGGCGTGGCACGTAGCAAGTGGCAAGTAGCACGCGTCTAGCATGTTTCTTAAAATGTAACCGATGAAAACGAATGATTCAGCGTACACCAAAATGACAGTGACGTCATTCATTCAAATCATTTGTTTTCATTGGTTACATTTTAAAAAACATGCTAGACGCGTGCTACTTGCTACGTGCTACTTGCCACGCCACTTTGGTGGGCGCTCTCACTTAGAGATGTTGCTAAAAAGCTACGAGCCTCGACATTTGAAACCAGAGAAGACTGTCAGTGCAAGCGGTATAAGTACTTATAGAATATTTCTATTGCCGAACAAAGTGATTAAATAAGACAGTTTAATAACATTCGCTGTGACAATGGTAATGATGCCCAAAATAGTTACCTATCTGGACTTATCTCATTACGACCTGTTTTTCAACGAAGGCCAAGGAAAAACGAAGAAGATGCTAGATTGAATAAAAATTCCCACAGCTACAAAGTTAAAGTTATTAGAAATGGCACTGCAGTAGGGGTACCAGCATCTTTTAAAGCGTTTTAAGCACTGTTTAAACCCCATCGATAGACGGGGAAAGCATACCAATATACCTCATTTGGTATATTTTTTGGCTCATTAAAGGGGTGTAAAGCGCACTATAGTTTGAAGAACTCTAACAGAGTTTTCCTACCGGAAGATATTAATGTTCAAAAGCTTCTTGAATTACTTTTGGCTAAACGTCCCCATATTGAGATGTGTTATAAAACATTCAGGTAAATATTTGTATCAGAGTTTAACATCTCGATCGGTTACCTACGAACTTAAACGTACTGTTGGTGTGACGAGCAGAAAGAAAAAAATTATTGAGCAAATGGTGTTTCAATTATGTACACGTATGACCAAACTATCGCAAAAACGGGGTCGGAGGACATTGATTCAATGCTCTATTATTCTTTGCTGTTAAAAACTTTATGTTTGCCAAACCTCGCGGAGGACAAAACAAAAATCACACCATTATCCAGTTCTTCCACAACCTAACTACTACACTAAAAAGGATTCACACTGTGACAATTACTTACTCAGTGCGCGGCTTCATGGAACCGGACAAAAACATGAAATTGATCCCCAAGAGTGCAAAGGCTGAAATCCCAGATGTCTGGGGAGAGGTTATAGAAGCCGCGCGAATAAAGCCACATCCGTTTGTTATTGTAACATGTGAATAAATTATGTTTAAAAAGTGGGGTACATTTTTGTATTTCAAGTTCTACAAAAAGAAATGTTCTTTTCCTATTTGGCTACTATAACAGTTTATGTTTTTTGAAACAAAATGCAAAACCGTGGATCACAGAGAAACATCTTTCACGTCCTAGTGAAAGTTCAACGGAAAAACCAGAAGAAACCAGAAATTCTATGAAGAAGAGGGATCTAAAGAGTCCTACAGCCGACTTCTTTCTGTCAATCAGCCTGAGTTATCATCTGAGCCCATTAATGTTCCCGATGATCAAAGCGATTTTTAGAAATCGGATTAACTTTAGTTAGTAGTTTGTAGCTTGGTTTATTTTTTTAATGTAATATAGAAATGCTTTACGAAATAAAAAAAGAATAAAAATAAAATTTTGAATTGAATAAAACTTGATCTGTTCAGGGGAATAATCAACTCAGTCTACATTTTGTTTAAATATAAAATATCTAACTATTAAATAATAATTCAATCAAAACATTATTTCAGCTATTTAGGTATAAGAAGTACATATCGAACTAATATATAAAACCATATAGTTAAAAATGTAAAAAAGAAAAGGATTTTTATCGTTTCAAATTTTCTTTTCTTTCTCCCGAAAAATGTAATTTTTTCCCCTGTACCCTTCAATCGATGTATTCATGACGCTAATATCCAAAGTTAACTAAATATTTTAAACTAACTAAAAGTTTTTCTCTTTTTTTGGCAGTTTTTCTTATATTCACATCTTAAATTTTAAGAAAAATCATTTTTATGACGAAATAAACATGTATTTTAAACAACAAAAACACAGAATGCGATTAATCAATTTTAAAATAAATTGGTGTATAGTTGGCTGCATAACACCGTCCATATACTTCGTTTTTACGTGGCGTCCTACAGGAAGTAAGTAACGACTTTCGTTATCGAATTAGAAAGAGACACAACGACAAAACGTACGTGAAATCTTCGATCATGAATCGTGAAATCGTCAACGTTGAAATTCAAAAATGGACGTCATAAACTAAATCGTATTTATCATTTCTTTTTTATAAATTTCTGAATTTATTACGAATGAGATAGAAAAAACTGTCCGTAAATAAAGATAAACAAAATAAAATATGTTCGTTTGACATATAATTCGATGTTTACATAGTTAAAATACATTCAATGATTCAAAATATAATAAATATTCGCGCCATTACAAGAAGTTTAAACAAATGAACATCGAAAATGCAGTAAACACTTGTCAGTTACGGCGTCTAAAAATCATTTCGTTATAAGCAGTTTAATTATTGTAACAGGTGTAGTGAACGTCTTTTGTGTGTAATATATTGTACCTACCCAATATATGTGCATACTTAGTTATCTAACAAGTAATAAGTTAATAACTAAATAAACAGAAAAAGTGTAATTGTTCATCAATAGCTGAATTTAACAATATGAGTGGAGCTAACCAACAACCGCCGAATTCACCACGCCCTCAACAAAATGAAGGGGCAGACATTCCGGTAATTCCTCCAGGGGAAAATCCAGTTGCTCAAATGCAAATTCCAGTTCCCGAAGAACAAAATCCAGTTATTCCCGAACAAATGGTGATACCTCAGCAAAATCCAGTTGTTCAACAACCAAGACGAGTTATTGCTCAGCAACCAAGACCAGTTATTGGTCAGCAACCAAGACCAGTTATTGGTCAGCAACCAAGACCAGTTCGGCATAATCCAGTTCGTTTTCCTCGACTTCCCAATCCTCATTATCGTTTAAGAAATGGGTATAGAATCCATCCACAAATTTTTGCCCTTCAAGATGCAGTTCGTATGGGAGAGGCCAGCGGCGTTCGCCCTCGTTTACCGAGAAGCAATTTAACAATGAGAAGCTACAGACCACCAATGGCAGCAGAAAATCCAGGAATCATCGGAGATGACCGTAACAACCCCCTGGCTAGAGCAATCCATCCACGTAGACAGGAGCAGGCAGCTCCTCTACAACAGGAGCCTAATCTGGTCATAGTGGAATCCGATTCAAGCGATGAGGATTAAACAGTTCGAAAACCTATCAGAGACTGATACGTGTTTAGTGTTATAATAAAATAAAAAAAAAAAATGTGTGTGTTTTTTGTAAAAAGTATAATTTTTTTTGTTTTTTGTAAAAAGTATTGTAAATTGCTACTTGTCTCTTTCATTTTTTCAATAAAAATTAATAAATAAAGGTTCTAAACCACATTTCTTGTAGTAATTTTTTATTCATAATTTCTGAAACTCTTTAGTTGTGGCATGTTAAATATTGTATATGTGTGGACTAAACCACAATTGATTGTAATAAAAATTACAATTTACATTTGTTGTTGCAAAAACAAATTTAAAATGTAATATTTATAATAATTATTTGGGGTTTAAAACCATATTAATATAATATTTATCGAATTTAAGGAAAAGCAACGTCGATTTCTCAAGCTGTGTGGCAATTTGGCAACATAGGTAAGTTATTCCTAGTTCTCTGTTATTAACACCAGAGAACTACGTTCTCTGTTGTTAACACATCTGACATCACCATCACATAATCGTATTGTGGTATTGTTATGTTTGTTTTGTTAATAATTTGTACTGGATATTTCCAAAGTTGATATTTCTCTCATAAATTAAGACAATTAGAGGGCTAAATCTTTTGGTGATTGCTGGTACCATTGACTAGCTGAATTCAGAGTTGTGGAAGTATTTAAATCAAGGTAAGCTATCTTTTTGCCATTTATCTACATTTAACCTCTAAATCTCTAGACAATTTTAATTTCTACTTAAAATTGGTTTCAAATATATACAAGTACATGTCTTTCAGGTGCCTAGGAAGTGCATCATACCAAAATGTACCTAAAACTACCAAAATCAGAAATATGTTTACATTTTCCATACCAAATCATCCTCCAGGAGAGAAACATAGTTAAGAGTCATTCGAAAAGACCAATGGGTACCACATGACAAAGCAGCTGTAACTGAGAAACAATTTATCGAAGATGATATGATGTACGAATTCAACTACGCACCATGAAAAGTAAAAGAGAACACTTGAAATACCCAGAATTGATTTAAGATGCCCTGCTAACTATTTTACTAATGCACCTTATAGTTATCTCATCGAAAAATAAAGGAGCGAAAGACTTCAGAAGACAAGAGGCATTTTAACGTAGAAATAATCCATAGTTAGATAGCAGTAGATAGAAGTTCTCAGGCTATATCAGTAGTTAGCTATTAAAGGAGATTTTGTGTATATAAATCTCCTTCAAATACAAAGATACCTCTAGTACATTTTATCTTAAATTAATATAGATTAATTCACAAGAAGACTCTCATAATTATATACAAACATTTGCCAAAAATATTTAATTGTCAACTTATCAATTGTATAATTGATTCTTTTAGATTAAAATAAAACTGGTAGTAAATCTTCACTACTACAAAAACCAATCATTTCTTTTATTAGCTTTGTCGCTGCTAATATACGTATTTCTGACTATTTGGGCATCTTCAGTATGGTGCGTTAACTTGGCTGCACTGTACTAAAGACAACCAATAGTCAGAAACACCTATATACACTTGCCTTCCATCTATATACCTATTTTGTTTTCCTGTTTTGCAAGATATGCAATTACATTGTACTTTTATTATTCACTCGCATTAACCTTTTCAATCAGTCCATGTTAGTATCACCCAGTATCAAATCTTCAGGTTTCTACTGTGACAAATATATTTTGCATATATTATAAAAATCTCTAAAACATAGGGTGCATACCTATCAACCTGCCATTGTCATGTTGTCAATTCTAATATCGTGGTTTGTAAAGTATAAGTGGCTTTGCCTAAACATAAGAAACTTGGTTCACAAGTTTTTCTTGATGTAAGGATGAACTGTGTTAAATTTGACATTAATAGTTCTTCTTGTTTATCTCATATTTTGTTTTGTCTTATTTTAGTACTGGTATTGTTCTAACACCTTTTAAGATGTCCATTGTGATGACATTTTTTTAGAAGAGCATAACAAATAGTCTATTTGATTATCTGAATTTTAATAATATATTATTTAATCCCAATCAATTTGGTTTTATACAAAGAAGTTGTACTTAGATGTCATGTAGCTCATTAATATCCTCAAGAACTATGATATTAGAGATGTAGTACTAGAAGTTTTTCATAATTAGGTATATGTAGATGTATACTGACTTTTTAAATATAAAAATTGGAATACTTCTGCGGTTAGTCCACTACTTTTTATTGCTTATATAAATCCTTATTTGAGTATGGTCATAAATAGAGTCACTATTTCATTTGTAGATGTCCTAGTTTTTAAAGACAAAAGTTTGCAAGCACTGTGGTTGAGGGTTTTGTAAAAGTTAAACAATGGCTTGATAATAATAAATTAACTTTTTAAACACAGATAAATCTTGATATATAGGATTTTCATTAATTAATACAAACAGACTAAATTTTAATTGTATCAAAGTACATGATTAAGATTTCAGTAGGGAAACTAACACTCTAAAATATTTAGGCATTAAAATTAACCAGAATCTGAAATTTACTGATCATATTCAAGATTTATTTAGTAAAATTAGATATAAAAAATAGTAGTAGTAGTAATAGTAGTTCTAATAATAAATGATAGTAAAATAAATTTTATACTTATAGTGAAGTCATTCTTGAGATATGGTAAAATTGTATGGGGAGGGGTCTACGATAATAAATTGAAACAGTTTGATGTGGTATATTTGCATATCATTTATTTTACAGGTAGAATTTATCCTACAAATTTCTATATTTTTCTGTATGTAAGGAAAAACTCCATAGAATTTAAGATTAATAGATGTTTTTCTTTTTATATCATGTGTTTTCCTTTTCTTGAAGAAATTGTGCTGGAATTTTAAAACTTGGAACAAAGGTTCCTTTTGGTGGAAGCAATTTGGTCTCAGTAGGCTTTTTTCTTTTCTTCCTTTACAAAGAAGTAGTCCTTGAGTCTTGAAGCTGAGTATATGGATTACTGGTGATGTAAGAAGGGGCCTTATTGAATTTAGAGTTAATATAACTTCTTCTCCCATACTTATGATTTTTAGTGTTCTTGAAGGAAATTCTTATATTTTAGAGACTTGGTAGATAGATTGGATATATGGGCTAATAGTTCTTGTCTATGTTCTTTTTAAAATAAGGTCTAGCACCAAAATTCATGTATTATTGTAAGTGCCAACATCATTCTTGATCCAACTTTTCCAATCTTTTGATGGAAATCTGGGAACAGAAAAAAATTACGGATGTAGGGAGAGGTGGAACAATATGTCTCATCTATGACATACCAGATTATGGGGATTGCAAGGGTAATACTCTTGTAGGTAATCTCTATGAGATACTCCCTTGGATAATAAAAAGTAAATTAGAGAAATATATGAACATAAAGTTTGGTGAAGACAAGAAAGGATTCAAGAGACAAATCTCTTCTTTTGACTCCATGATGACTGTTATCGATCATGCCTTTATTGACACCAACTCTGTGATGTAGTGAGTTTTCCATACCATTGTCTTAGATTTGTCTGCTATGATGTTCTTCTTTTACCAGGACCATGTTTACCTTGGACTGAGTAATCTGATCTTGATGTTTCACCTTAACAAACATTTTTGCATTAACATGCTATATAATAAATACTACACTTCTGTTTGACTACAACTCAAAATACATTCAGTACTTTATATACAGGGTGATTGGTTAGTGAAATAACGCTCAGTAGATCTGCTATAATAATAGATAGCAATTAAAGTTAATCTAAAAATTGTAGGCAACTTTAAAGTTCACATTACAAAATTAGTTACAGTGTTACAGGGTGCTCGATAACATAGTGTGAGGCCAAACATATGTTTTTTTTTAATGCAACACCCTGTATTTTATTTTATATTCGAAATCTTCTTTACTTCCCCATCACAACAGTATAAAGGTTTATTATGTTATACAGGGTTTTTACAAAGTTATCATCAATTTTCTTTGTAAATCGTAACACGTTCAACTCACTGTATAATTAAAAAGAAGCCTAATAAAAATTATCTATCGCTGCCACATTTTTTATTTATTGTCAGAATCTTCAACAAATTATTGATATTGCTAATTTTCTTTATATCAAATACCGTGTGAGTCAAAACGCAAATACATCATTTTCTCAATAATTTTAAATAGAACATCCTATATTTTATATCACCTTCGAAAAGTGCCATTACCATAATTCAATTTTTATTTAATATTCCCTAGTTTTAAATTTATTGGGTTTACATTTTTCAAAGCAAATTATTTGTTCTCGGACGCGACTAGTTCACGTTCGAGACGCATCGCCCCGCCCCTTATTTTTCACGTTGGCCCCTCCCTGACCTGGAAATCCTTAATGTATACTTCAAAAAGTATAAAAATAGGCGATTTTCAGGTCAATAAGTTCAGTCCTTCACGGGCTCTCCGAGAGCTTAGTGCTCTCGGGGCTCTGCTTTCTTGTTTTTAGATTTTCCCATACTCTGTGGCTGAGATGTTATTCTACTGCAACCTGGTATTTTTATTTTGACTTAACCTTTGTCATGTAAGAAATATCTTGCCTTTTTCAAGGCAAGATACCAGAAGAAAACGTTTTCGAGTCCATACCTTGAAAATGGACTTAAGTAGAGGAGCTATCGTTGATGTCTTCGAAGCCCTCTACAGAGCACACGGTGGTACAGAAGGTGCTTAGACCCTTATTAATTACACCGCGGTGACATGGCGCCCAACAACGTGGATTATTCCGATCCCACGACCCAGCTCGACTCACAGCAGAAGGCTACAACCATTGACTTCAACATGGGTTGAAGTCAAGAGAAGAATGGGGAGAACCACGGAGTATTAGAAAGCTATACTCTAAAACTCCGACATCGAGGCCTTCTGCAGACCGGATGCCTTCGACGTGCAGGCACCTTTGACGAGCCAAACTTCTTCGAAGTCAGAAGCCCCTGATGCCAATGGAAGTCCAGAAGTAGACCCAGTCATCGCCCCC